CGGACCGGATAGCAAACAATCCAATCTCATATTCGGGCTTAGATTTGAGGTAAAAAAACCCGGATAAAAACCGGATAAGAGACCCCAACACTCAAATCCCCACCAGCTCAATCTAAAATCAAAATCAAATTGGGACCAGACCGGGTCAAGACCGGACCGCATCAAAACCGGAGTGTATCCAATCCAATCTTTGGTCCTTATATTCCCAAAAAAACCGGACTGGGACCGGATCAATTTGGTCCAATTTAACCGGACCGGACCGTATAGCCACCCCTACCACCGGGTGGGGGTGCGATGTGCAACCAAACTGGACGCTGAGGAAGAAGAGTTCCTGAAAGAATTACATTATAATAATCATCAGTTCTTCACACATTAATTAAAGCCCATTCCGTACTGATTTTAACGTCTCATAAATATTGTATTCACCAAAATGTCCCTCCGTGAGCTGCGCAGGAGCAAGGGAAATAGAAATGATGGGGTTCTGGAGGAGAACCTCCATATAGTATTGGCTATGATGATTAGATGGGGCAGGATAGAATAACAACACCCCTTTTGTTGTTACTGTAACAACAAGGGTATAAGGGTAAAATTACAAGAAAAATAAAAAAAATTAAAACATAGAATCTCTGCGCGATCGTAGTCGCTGAATTAAGGTTACCTGATTCGCGTCCATCACCCCGCCGCTCCCGCGCCAATTCGCTGAAACGCGAATTTTTTGCAAACCGTTCCAAATTCGCGATTTTATTATTACGGGAGCGCAAATTTTCGATTTGAGAGCGCGATTTTCCGGCCGCTTTCATTTTCTAATGAAATTGGAAGGAGAAGAAGACAACTATCGATGCTAGTCGGGAATCCAAACTCTGGTTGCGTCTATCCCTATGTTTCCCACCCAGAGTAATTGAGAACTCTGTTTCTTACGATAGATCAAAGATGTTATGCTTTCCTTTCACGCCGCAGTGACGGAGGAACAGAGGAAGCCAATTGAGAGGTCTGTCAAGGAGGTCTGGTCGACAGAAATTGAAGAGGAATCTAAGGTGCTGACGGTTGATTAGGGAGGTGGATTGACAGTGTCGGCGGAGGAAAGGGAATTGGGATAGAAGAAAGTGAGAACAGGGGCAGATTGCTTCTTTTATTGAAAACAAAGGATGCGAAGTTGCGAACAGAGAAAGACTTCAATAAAAAAGAAGCGAGAGATGCATTTTTGTTTGGCCAAACAATTTCATTTCTTTTTTATGTAAATGATAATCTTTTGATCAATTTGTTTTATCTTTTCGTCGAATTTGATCGATTTGTGGGTGGCCAGTGGTACTTTATTTGTTTTATGATTACAATATTAATAATATAATCATTATATGTTTTACTTCTACGGTGAATATAATTACATTGGTTAATGGGACGGGGATAAATAATAATAAAATCAAACATTTTTCTACGTGGATATACACTAATCACATATATTATAATTTTTACCAGTTGATTGTGATAATATTACTCATGTCGTATATATTATTTTTCAGGAAAATGATAAAATATTAATTTAAATAATATAATATTGACGCTCTATTCACGCTTTTAATATTGAATTCTTACAAAATTGACGCTCTTGTGCTCCCGCTCCCGCTCTCGCTCCACGTTCTGGTTACCTAACGCTGAATTCGAGGCGAACCACGACTCCACGGAATTCGTCGAGCGATTCGACGGCGCGCTGTTCGATTGCCTGGACGATTGCTTTGATCGATCGGACGGCGACCGGGGGGATCGTGGAGTCGGCGTCGGGATCGAGATTCGGGACGCGGTGGCGGTGGAGGGAGACGAGGAGCGGGTTTACCGGCCGATGAGGATTGAGGAATGGCGAGGTTATTTCTCCAGAGTTGGGATGGTGGAGCTGGAGATCAGCTCGTCGTCGTTTTATCAGGCGGCGCTGCTGGTCGGGAATTTTGCGTTCGGCGAAAGTGTTCCTTTTTAAGGACGGATCAGAGAAAATAACAGATCCCATTTTCAGTGCAATCGGATCGGCTCCTTTTTAGATACTACCTGCCGGCCTGCCTGCACCAAAACTTCACTTTAAGATAACTAAAATGCAACATAATCATAACATTCTGTGGGCTCAAGCTCGTGTTAATTGCATTATTAGAGGTGTATTTGGAGGTTTATTAGTGGTATACATATCATAAATACGATAAAATAACTCACAAAAATCAAATCAAAAACCTCATAATGCATACCACAAATCCCATAAAACAAACAACAAACCTCACAAAGCAAACCACAAATTCTCTAAAACATACCAGAAACCGCACAAAGCAAACCAAAAATATTTTATAAGCACACCAGAAACCTCATAATACAAACCATGAACACTGCAAAGCAAACCACAAAAAACAAACTATAAACGTCCTAATGCAGACCACAAATATATTAAAACAAATACGAAACCTCACAATGCAAACCACAACATTTTCAAAAGCACGCCAAAAACTTATTAATGCAAACTAGAAACCTCCTAATGCATGCCACAAATCTCCTAAAACAAACCACAAACCTCACAAAGCAAACCACAACATTTGCGAAAGCACACCAGAAACCTCCTAATGCAAACCACAAACACAGTAAATCAAACCACAAAAAAGCAAACCATAAACGTCCTAATGCAGACCACAAATATATTAAAACAAACCAGAAACCTCACAATGCAAACCACAAAGTTTTTGAAAGCAAACCAGAAACTTCTCAATACAAACCACAAACACGATAAAGCAAACCATAAAAGGCATAAAAAAATATGAGAAACCAAACCATAAATCTCACAATGCTAACCATAACATCCGGGTGATCGTTGACCGTTGACCGGTCAATGAAGTTCGTTGACTGAACTCCGGTGACCGTCAGTGAGCAGATTTCGACGCCGATAGGCATATTCCGATGCCGATGGGCATATTCCGGCCCCTATGACTAGATTCCGACGCCGGTAAGCATATTCCGACGCCGATAAGCATATTCCGACGCCGGTAAGCATATTTCGGCCACAAATAGCATATTCCGGCGACAAAAAGCATATTCCGGTGACCGGCGACCATTTTCCGGCGACCGGTGGCAGAATTCCGGCGACAAAATTTTTGGGTAGAAAATAAAAAATATTTTTTTATTTTTTTATTTAAATAGATTTTTCATAATGACAATTATACCCCTGCTTTGATTTTACACTAGGTCAACTCATCTAATAAAAAGTCATCACAATCCTAGCTTCCTATTGGTTGGGGACTAGTATTGTTACAATAACAACACAATGGGTGTTGTTATAGTAACCGGTCCCTGATTAGATCCTTCCATAACAGAGAAGGATACGTACGTATAGAGTATATATATATATATATGCTATACTAACTTGCCACTCTCTTGGTAATCCACCACAAAACTGCTCACATTTAGCTGGATTTGAGGCTAATCCAGACAGCTGCTTGAATCTTTCCAGAGGGTTGATATATATCACAATGTTATTCAATTGCCTCGGTAATTGGAGATGTATCATTCTGTTCTATGAATATAGCTCGATAAGTTAAAACCGTATTCACCACGAGTAAGAAAAATTGAAATAGAAAGGAGAGAAAGAGTGAACAGATTCTGTAATTTGTGCACATATAGTAGTTCACTTTTGTCTCTCTTATCTTTTGTCAATGAGGTTAATGTTAGAGATCGCAAACAACCAAGAGTTACTTTAATTTTATATATGGTTGAAGACCATGATGGAGGGTTTCTTACATTTTCATAAGAAAATATCAAAGCCGCAGTTTGAAAGTTGAAGAAAAAAACAAGGCAAAATATAGCGGTATATCCACAATTATCAGGTTTGTGACAAATATATCCACAATTATTGAAATACACGAAATATCCAAAAATCGGAAGGTTGTGTGACAAACCTATCCACTTTCGTATGAAACTACAACTGCGTGTCAGACGACTTTAAATTGACTAACGGAATGCTGAATCGATGCCATCTCACCTGCCACATAAGCCAAAAAGCAACCAAACGTTACACGTAGATGCCAAATAGGCTAGTTGAATAAAGGCCAAATACAGCTGTATATCCATAACTATCAGGTTTGTGACAAATATATCCACCACTATCAGGTTTGTGACAAATATATCCACAACTCTCGAAATACACGAAATATCCATTTCCGTCCACTCCGTTAGCTCCGTCAGTTAACTTGATGACTGGACAGAGGTGGATGCTTAGTTGGTGTGTTTCTGACCCCGCTGAATGACGCGGATTAAAAGAGAATTCTTTTTTAAAAACTCTAAATTCCACATACGGCGAGACTAAAAATCCAACCCAGAAACACGCCCGATAAAATTGATCCTCCCCTGATCGACGCCTCCACCCCCAAATAACCCTACCTCAAGCCCAGATTTCGATTCCAACCACAATCCACAACCATTGCCTCCCTTTTACTCCGACGGCTTCCATGCAGTCGGCGCATGGTGATACCAAGCTTGAATCTCAAACAAAAAAAAGTTTGAATCTAACCAAATCGCCAACAGAGAAGACTGCAGCAGCGAGGTCTAACAGATAACGGAGTAAATTTTGGTTGCTTTTTGGCTTATGTAGATGGCATCAATTCAGCATTTCGTTAGTCAATTTAACGCCGTCTGACACACCGTTATAGTTTCAGACGAAAGTGGATAGATTTGTCACACAACCTTCCGATTTTTGGATATTTCGTGTATTTCGATAGTTGTGGATATATTTGTCACAAACCTGATAGTTGGTGGATATTAACTGTATTTTGCAAAAAAACAATTGCGCCAAGTTTGATAATTGATAGACGTACGGAACTAAGTTAGTAAAATACGTTTTTATTACCACAAGCAACCTCTCAAAACCGGCAAGTAATAACAAGATATGGATCCCAACTTATATATGCGTACTTATCTGAGAAAAGCTATAAATAGACTATAGCCATGCATGCATATTGCATGATATACATGGATATGATCGATTACTTCTTGTAAATTTTGATGTTCTTCCACCGTGCTTCCATGTAATGGCTAGCTTTCTTCCGGCAGGAATACACCCCACACTTGAAGTAACAAGCCCCTTTCCCGCCGTCTTTCCCGACGATCTTCAGGTCGCCGTCAACGATCACCGACAGCTTCCCTTTCTCTATGTCGTGGATCACGTTCAGCTTGAACCACCTGTCCACGATGTTGGGAACAATGGGCTTCTTCCAGAAGTACCAGAGGTCGTTGCCGATCACCCTGAGCTGCAGAGTGAGGGTGCTTATTGTTCTTCCGCCGTGGATTTGGAATATCGTCACTCCGTGCGATCCTTTCGGCACGAACGCGTAGCCTTCGAATTGCCACACTCCTGATGAGTAATCCAGGCCCTGTATGTAGACAAAATAAAGAACGAAGTTCTCCAACCCAAATTCCTATGTACAAAAGATTCGCCCATAAAAGAGAAAAGATCCAAGTTCTTAACTCAAATGTTCTCTTTTTCAACTACGAGATTGATATGTTCCTATTTCATTAGCTACAAAAACTGATCAGCATCTAGTTGTGGATTTGTATGGTCACCAAAATTATATTTCTTTGTGAAGTCGATAATCCAATCAAATCGAATCGAAAAGAGAACACCACATAAAATCGTATATGTAGATAAATAAAATTCGAGTCAAAGTAATCAGGATCGAGCTATATAATAGATAATTATTTAAGGGGTTGTTTGGCAAGCATGTGTTATGCCGATGATTTTCTAAAAAATATGAATTTTCACCTTAAACGATTTTTTTTGTTTGTTTAATTTCGATACCAAAATCATGTCAATCGGCCAACATTTGACGATAAAATTTATAGTGTATCGTACACTCCTGCAAGGTCAAACCCGAAAATTTTAAGATGAGTTTTTCGAAATTCTTGCAAAACCAAACACGGTATTCTGATATCACCTAATTTCTTACAATCCAATTAATTACCTAAAAATACATAATATCTGGAAATTTATGTATTGTACTAGATATATGCATGCGAAATGATCAATAAAAAAAAAAAGAGGCAATACCTTGATTCTGATTTCGGTCCGAGGCAAGGTAGTGCTGTGGGGTTTGAAAGGCTTGTCGTCGTCGTAGACCCACAACCGATGCACTCCATTCTTGAAGCTGTACCGCTTCTCCAACGGCACGTCGTAAGGCTTCTGCAGCTTAAAGTTCCGTTCCGTCAGCTCAACTCGTTTGAACCCATCGGCGGGATCCGCATCTCGTCGCTGAATATCAACTTCTGCCGTCGCCAAAACTGCCATCCCGATAGCAAGAAGAATTGATAGAGCCGCCGACAGGAAAACAGCAGCTGCCATGACGACCATCCCCCTGAAGAAAATAATGACGTCTTAATTAGTTTCTTTCTTCTTTAGATTATGAATAGGGAAATCCATATTGATTATATATAGTTTAATAGTTAGGCAGGCACGAACCAATCTCCTGAAGAAATATTAATGATGGTGACGTCCGGCGGCCTGCTGGGCTGAGATATGGAATAAATGGGTATTCTGCGTTCATATTTGTTACTGACCCATGGATATAAGATAGAGGTCGGTCAAATTCGATTTCGGAAAGGTAACTTTCCAAGCTTAGGCAAAGTGATTGGTTTCTACAAAGCCCAGAAGTTAGGGACTCTCATAAATTAGGACCAACTCTATATATCACTGCCAAAGGTAAGCATCCCGGGAGAAGTTAAAACTGCAGGCCCAGTACTGTAAGTAGCTGGTTTGATTTATTTTATGTGAGTTTAATTAACCGAAATTTGAACGAGATTTTTTTGTTTTAATAGCAATTCAATCTTTATCTTTTCTACTTTATATTTTCAAACTGGTTACTTAAATTTTGATTCCTTCCGTCTTACAAAAAAAAGTAGGATTTGGCTTACAACTTGTCCTTTAGCACCATTAGATTTGACAAGGTCCCACTACAAAACTAATGACTATAGGGAACAAATATAAGAGACGATTAACTTATTTCATCTCCGGAACTATAATATTAAGTGACTTTAGGAACAAGCAGCTAACATCGTCTCCATAAATCAACTAATATATATTTAATTAGTTTATTAATTTATTAAGTTGTTCCCAAAGGACTGTATGCGGAAACGAATGTTGATTTTCATTAAAATATTAATTTGGGGGCAAAGAAATCCCAAATTCCCCTAGCTGATAATTAGTATATTGATTTGAAGTTAACTATCTTTTTTTTTTCTGAACTAATTATCTCCCTTTCCTACTTTGATTGGTGGAAAAAATCGACACATTTTGGCATGGAGCGGGATTCTTTCTTTTTCCTAGTCTCATTCTAGCTTTGGGGACAAACACGTTTTCTCATCTATTTTATAAATTTCTTTATGGTTTTATTAGTGGTGCTTTCTATCCTTGTTTGTTTGGATTATGTAATTCCTTTTTAAATGTGGAAGTGGAGTTTTTCTTCTGACCGAATCAGGATAATATGGTGGTGGGAATTAATGATTTGTTTTCCTTTTTAGTTTTTGATTTTATATAGGTACCCTATAAATAAGTAATGGATGCTTTGCTGAAAGACAATCTACTTCAGAATATTGATACGACAAATATATCCCTTGTGAGGTATAGTTCTCTTTTGGTGCTATAAATTGCGTCTTAACTTTTCCTACATTAGCTTTGCTTGATGTATTTATCCTTTTCTTTTTACTTTTCGTCACTTTACTTTTTTAAGGTTAGAGATTATTTATTTTCTATTGCTTTATCGTTAAATACGTCATTGTCCTTTACTATTTACTGCTTTCCTTTCTAATGGAAACTTCATGCCTTGTTGATTCTTACTGTATTTTGTTTTTCTTAATAGGTAATGATTCCGAATAAAGATTGGATGAGTATAAGAAATAGGAGAGCACCTGAATTTATCGACGGCGTCAATAAATTTATTGAGTTCGCGTTTTCTCATTCTGCCAATCAACAAGTCATTCGTTGTCCGTGCACAAACTGTGGAAACGTCGCTTATAAGAATCGTTCAGAAGTGAAGTTTCATCTATTGAAAAATGGAATCTTAAGCCATTACACAACCTGGTATTCCCATGGGGAAGTTGCAAGTAATAATACGAGGGCACCCACGAGTGGAGAAGTTAATGAAGATCCTATTTCTGGTGATACACTTGACGATATGGATGAACTTATACATGATGTGTATGGCATGGGAAGAGACGAAGAAGATTTTGGCATCGGAGAAGAAGAGCCTAATAAAGACGCTGCTACCTTCTATCGCTTGCTCAAAGAGGCTAATGAGAAAATGCACTCAAATTGCAAGCACACTAAACTAGCCACGATTGTGAAATTGCTCCATCTCAAAAGTCAACACAAGTGGACTAATAAGTCATTCGACGACTTACTTAGCATTATGAGGGAACTGATTCCGAATGGCAAGGATATGTTGCCTGAATCTTTCAGTAGTGCGAAAAAGTACATTGCTGATTTGGGTCTTGGTTATGAGAAGTATGACGTTTGCGAGAACAATTGCACGTTATATTGGGGTCCTCATAAAGATGCAACATCTTGTCCAGTATGCGAATTGCCTCGATATGCTTCTTTCGATAGGCATGGGAAGGGGAAACCACACAAGGTGTTACGGTATTTTCCATTGACGCCAAGACTGCAGAGGTTATTTACGTCAAGTAAAACGGCTTCCCAAATGAGATGGCATAAAGAAGGGCGAACTGATGATGGAATAATGCGACATCCTGCCGATACTCCTGCTTGGAAGTCATTTGATGAGAAACATCCATCTTTTGCAAGTGACCCTCGAAATGTTAGACTTGGTTTAGCAACAGATGGGTTCCAACCTTTTGGCAACATGAGCTCCCAACATAGTATTTGGCCAGTGGTGCTTGTCCCATACAACTTGCCCCCCTGGTTGTGCATGAAACAACCATATTTTATCATGTCAATGATTATACCCGGCCCTAGCAGCCCTGGTATGGGCATTGACATATTTTTGCAACCCTTGATCAAGGAATTGAAGGAATTATGGGTGGATGGAGTGAGCACATACGATGCCCATTTGAAAAGGAACTTTCAGTTACATGCTTCTGTTTTATGGACTATTAGCGACTTCCCGGCATATGCTGATTTGTCAGGATGGACTACCAAAGGTTATAAGGCTTGTCCATCATGTCATAAGGACACTTGTGCCCAACACTTGGGCAATTCGAGTAAGATGTGCTACATGGGTCATAGGCGGTGGTTGCCACCTAATCACAAATGGAGAAAGAATGCTACAGGATTCAATGGAGAAAGGGAAAAAAGAAAGGCACCAAATCCATTGTCAGGTGATGAGGTGTTATTGAAATGTCAGACTTTCAGGCAATTACCTTTCAGAAAGGATACGAAGATAAACTATGATGCTACTAACAGCTATGAAAATTTGAGGAAAAAGAGCATATTTTTTGAGCTACCCTATTGGAAGACCCTTCTTATCCGTCACAATCTTGACGTAATGCATATTGAGAAAAATGTCTGTGATAATGTGTTGGGTACCATAATGGACATCAAGGGGAAGACAAAAGATTCGTACAAAAGTAGGTTGGACTTGGTACAAATGGGGATTCGGAAAGAACTACATCCGAAGGTTATTGAGGGCAGAACTCAAGTTCTAGTTGCACTTTACACCCTATCGAAGGTAGAAAAGGAATCATTGTGCAAAATGTTAACAAATTTGAAGACTCCCGATGGATTTTTATCAAAAATTTCTCGATGTGTCAACATGAAGGAGAGAAAAATATCCGGCATGAAGAGTCACGATTGTCATGTGTTCATGCAACAACTGCTTCCCTTAGCAATTAGGAGGCTTTTACCAAAGGAAGTATGTGAGCCATTGATTGAATTAAGTGCGTTCTTTCGAGACTTGTGCTGCAAAAGTCTAAGTGATGATGATCTTGATCGTCTTCAACGTCAAATTGTGATTACCTTATGCAAGCTAGAGATGATATTCCCTCCTTCATTCTTTGACATCATGGTTCATTTGTGTGTTCACTTGCCTATGGAGGCTAGGATTGCTGGGCCAGTGCAAACAAGATGGATGTACCCAGTGGAAAGATTTTTGCGAACCCTTAAGTCTTATGTTCGTAATAAAGCTCATCCAGAGGCTTCCATAGCAGAAGCATACCGAATTGATGAGTGCTTGACTTTTTGTTCAAGGTATCTTGATGGGGTTGATACCAAGTTTAATAAGGCCCCAAGAAATAATGATGACAATGGAAGTTCTGGTAGAAATGGGGAAATCGATATTTTCGATGTAGTTGGTCGTCCATTTGGAAAAGGTGCCCCCACAATATTCGATGGTGATTGGAGGAGGAAGGCTCACATATACGTCCTAAACAATTGCAAAGAAGTATTTCCTTACATCCAGTAAGTGCTTTGAAATTGAAAGTTGGTTTCTTGTATGGTATGAGTGTCCTTATATGCTTAGTAACCCTTGTTGATTTTACAGGGAATTCAAAAATGGTTTACCTCCAATGCGAGACCTTGATCTGATCAAGAGTTATAACTCTGACTTTCCCAAATGGTTCCAACGCCATGTGAGTATAGTATCAAAATTTTCTTCAAGTAATTTCAAAACTGAAATCTAATTTCTATTTTATTCATTGTGCTTGTAGGCAAGGCAATTGGAAGGGTCCGTTCCTGCAGATTTACTCCATTTGGCCGATGGACCTATTAGTCATTATACACCATATACAGGCTATATTGTTAACGGCTTTAGATTTCACAATTTAAGCAGACAAGAGTCTCGAAAAAGTCAAAATAGTGGGGTACTTTGCAGAGGCGACGATTCATCTCCTGAAAAGGAGTACTATGGAATTCTTGAAGAGGTGTGGGAGTTGCAGTATATCGGGAGAAGAAAGGTCTACTTATTCAAGTGTGAATGGTATGATGTAACTCATAAAAGTGGGTACAATATAGATGAATACTCAATCACAAGTGTCCGAGCCAATCGTCGCCTGAAAACAGAGGAACCATTTATCTTAGCATGTCAAGCAGAACAAGTTTTCTACATCGACGATCCTCGAGACCCGAATTGGTTAGTAGTGATGAAGGTACGACCTCGCGACTTGTACAACATGCCAGCGGTGGTGGCAGATGATGTTGATGCAGACGGAGAAGTTGATGACCATGATGACGACGAAGCTTTTCAAGAGGAAGAAAGAAATGAAGAGGGACGGACAACAAGACCATTGGATCTTGATGATGAAGTTGGACTAGAAAGAACTGATGTACTACCAGAAGAAATTCATCTTGAAATGACTCAACAAATAGAAAATTCTGAAAATGTGCTAGAGGAAGAGGATTAT